GACCGCCTTCGTCCTGGGGCAGATATTACTCATTCTTCGGTCGCGGTCAGCCGAATGCAGCAGATCAAAAGAGAGACAGTCACAATGAAAAAGGAGTCTCGTACAATTGCAATGAAGCCTCAGCAAGATCATCTAGTAAAGTAGCAAGGTCACTGCTGTCCATTCGTGGGCTGATGATGTTTACTTGTGGCAAAAGCAAGTTTGAGAATCATTGGACCCTAAAATTTACAAGTGTGCTCTGGCACAATTTACATAAATATAAAAAAAGAGTCACCACTTACTCTAAATCCGGGTAACAATATAGGAAAGTGATTGACAAGCATTAATGCCTCAGCCGCCTGTCGCGAAGTCGGAAACTCGACTATGCCAACCGATGATGAAGGGCCCGGCTTGAATGGGTAGATATTACACGGGTAGGCTGCCCCAACCGAGACGAACATCTAGAAATGGAACCACATAACACTCATATTTTCTAAGAACTATTATTATCTTCTGAAAAGATCATCACCATGTATATCATTTCCCTTGTGGTGTAAGTTGGAGCATCCCACCAATACAGCATCGAAGAAGGTGGAGCGATGCGAATTTTTGCAGAACTTTCGGCTGCTTGATATCGGCTAAATCGCTGCAGTGGGCAATTCGTATACAGTTCGCACATAGGCATTCCATTCGGAAATCGGTCACTGAAAAAATACTTCTACTTTTTAATTCATACAATGGATATTGTACGTGGTCATTCTTATGGCATCATTCCGTCCATAATCAAATGAAAGCGTGCAACCAAATAGGACCACGTTCTGTAGCATATTCATCGCGATGTTAACCTGAAAACATAGCGCATGCGTAATCCAATGAGCAGGGCCGCTTCGAATTCCAATAAAAAGTAAGAAGTGCCGCAGCCTCAACCCCCTTAAACGGCTTGAAACATTTTACAGCATCAGTAACAAACCGTTAGGAGCAGCTTTCACTTTCTTGAATATGATATAATTCAAGTAACCATCTCGCCAAATCCTACATAGGCTTCCCGACTCACCGAACTAGAATGTGCAAATTCCACAATTGCTGCGTCTTTGATCCGCGTGACAAGCTTTATCTGGATAACACAACAATGTCGATCGCTTGATAAGTTTTGAATCCTACACTTACAGCCACCACATGCCCATACATGCACATTAGGTTGAAAAGTCGGTCACAGGAGAATATTCCAGACTGTAGTTCGATGCCGTACACCATCATACATCGCGGACCATCCTAATTAACGATCTTGATTTTAGATGTTTACTAAAGGCCACTGCATGACGAAGGCACTCAAGCTGTATTAGTTCGGCGGTCGCGAAGGCGACGCGCGCGTATCT